TGGTGATCGTGAGTGATGGCAAGAGGATTTAGCCTCGGCATTAACTTGGAGCGGAGTGCAGGGGGGCAGTGAAGCGCCCGCCATCTGGCCCGCGCCGCGCCGGGGGGATGCCCCGGCTCCCCGACGAGCCGCCGCGAAGCCCACCCGGGCCGGGGGCCGCCCGGCGCCGGAGCGCGGGTCCTCCCCGGGCCGCCCAGGGGGGCCAAAAAGTTTGCACTTGTTAGCGGCGACCTCCCGCTCCTCCCGGGCGGGCGATGCGGGCGGCGCGGGCGGCCCCCTCCCCCGGCCCGCGTCTCCGGGACGGCTGCGGGCGGCCCCCCCGGCGGCCGGAGGGCTCCCCGGCCCCGATCTGACGGCGGCGGCGGCGGCGGCCACAGCGGCGGGAGCGGCGCGGGGAAGGAGCAGCGGCTTGCAGCCCTCGGCCCGCGCCCCCACCCAGCGCCAGCCCGAGGGGGGAGGCGCAGCGCCGGAGGGTGGCGGTCCTCGGCCCTCCCGGGTCTCCGCGCTGGGAAGCCGCTCCGAGCCGGGGTAAGGCGGGAGGGGAGAGCCCGGGAGGCGGGCGGGGGAGAGGCTGCAGCTTGGCCAGGCTGGTTTCATTTTTAAAGGGCTTCGGTGACCATGCAGGCTTGCCCGGGCCCGGGAGCCACTTACAGCGGCCCGGCAAAGGCTCGGATGCAAAAGTTGTTTGGTGGCGGCTGCTACGAGCTGAGGACTGGAGTCGCCCCAGAGGGGTGTGTGAGGGTGCGTTCTTAGCAGCATCTTAAAGGGGTAGCTTGTCTTTCTGGCCGGCTTCCCCCGGGTCCTTTCCTTCGTGTGTGTGTGTGTGTGTGTGTGTGTGTGTGTGTGTGTGTGTGTCTATGTGTGTCGGGGAGGGATGTTGCAAGGATGCTCGGATGTGTCTCGAAAAAGGAAATTAACCCTACTCCCGCGCCTCTCCCCCACCCCAATTTCACCGCCACCGCTTAGAACCACCCCCATCCCGTGCCCTCCCATCTCTCTGCAAACTGGGAGCCTGTGAGTTGCACAGAGAAACTCCCGCGGCCGGGGCTGGAAACTTCTCCTGGCGCCGGGAGGGGGTCGGGAGGTGAGGGGGCGCAGGCACCGGCTTGGGGCCGGCGTGGAGTCGAACCTGGAACTCAGCGGCGCGCAGGTTGGGGGAGCAGAGGCGGCGGGAAGGCGGGAAGAGAGGACCGCGGGCTCTCAGGGTCTGCCCGCTCTGGAGTAAGTTGGCCGTCTGGGCGGGGGGCGGCGGCAGCCGGGTCGCCGCAGGCTACAGCGCCGGGGCAAAGGATCCAACTAGTTCCTGGGCGCCCTGCTCGGTGTCTTTTAATTAAGTGAGGCAGTGCCGAAAAAGGGGGCACCTCAGTCCGGACCGGGCCTTTATTACAGGCTTAATTATTAATTGCTCCCGTGGCTTGCACGCAACTTTGGGAAGACAAAAAGCAGCTGCGGGGCTGCCGGGTCGTCGGTGTCCCAGGCTCGCAGCCGGCCCGAAGCACTGACTCGACCCCGGCCCCGGCCTCGACCCCGCCCGCCGGGACCCACCCGAGGCCGGATGCTCGCGCCCCGCCTCCCGCGCCCAACTTTCCAGGGCTCCTGCGGGCGGGGACCCAGGGGCCAGATAAAGGGCCCGCTCCGGAGCAGGGGACACCGGGGCCGCCGGAATTAGGACGCCCGCCGAGGCTGCGGTGAGCGCCGGGCGCCCGCTGGACCCCGCCCGGGGCGGAGGACGGGAAGGTGACCCCACCGGCCAAGCTTCCTTTCCCTCCCGGCAACCCCCACCCTCCCCCGAAGGCAGATTTCACCCCCCTCCGCCGCCCTTGCCCAGGAGGGAGAGGGAACCCCGGGGTGGGCTGAGTCCCCTCCAGTCCCAGGAGCCCCCAGCGCCCTCCCTCCGGTGCCCCCAGGGGCCCCGCGCCCGCCGCGGCAAGTTTCCCACACGGCAAGGGCGCAGCCGGCAACTCCAAGAGGAACCTGCTGGCGAGCCCAGCCAGCTCGGGAGGCGCTAATTCAATAAGACAGAGAAATCTGAGTTCAGAAATCCTGATAAAATCTAATTTTCGGGTTTTAATACCCTGGCTATCAGCCCCCCTCGGTTCCTGAGGACTCTTAAAAGAAAATAAAGCACATTGATTCTATTTGTTTCTGGGAGCTGCAGTTTCTTAATAATACCAGGTGAAGATAAATTTTCCACGGAGAAAACGATCCTCCGGGATGCAGCCTTTTACTCTGAAAATTTCCCTGCCGACTCCTCACTCTCTGCGCTCCTCCTCGTTATCCGGGGACTCCTGTGTCTCTTCCCCCCTTCTCTTTTTTCTTTTTGGCAGAACCCGCCTGTAATATTCGTGTGCTGAGCTCATAATTCCCCCTGCGATGCCAGCAACGCCCAATTGATTGACTAGTTGTAAACACATTTTTCCCCTGGCAGATTTTGTTGTTGTTAGGGTTTTTTATTTATTTATTTATTTATTTTCCAGGGAATGCGTGGCATTTAAACCAACAGGACTGCAATTAATAGATTTGCGAGTTGCGCCGCGCGCGCCGCTCGCCCCAGCCTCCGGGCCTCCGGGCCTCGCTGCCTCCCCGCGCCCGGCGGCGTCCAGCGCCCTGCAAGCCCCGAGCAGCCGCCGGTCCTGCAGCTGAAGGAAGGCGGCAGCTGCGCCCTCCTTGCAAGCCGCAGCCCGGCGTCCTGGTTGTCCCAGCAGCCAGGAGCTCCCTACCTGTTAGTGAACAGTTGGGAGTCGACTGCTGGAAGAATTAATTAGGAACGTGCTGTGCTCTGGGCAGCGCGAGCTCGGGTAGTGGCATCCAAACCTTTGCCGGCCGCGCTATTTTATTTTTACTACATTTTCTCAGGTTGCAAAAATAGACACCGGGCACGTTCTTTCTGAGAGTTTTCTAGCAAGGAGCGCCTTCAAGGCCGGGCAGGCTCTATAACAGGTTCCTCTTTAAACAGCCAGAGGTGAGACGGGGAAAATGGTCCTGGCTGGGTTCTCATTCATCTCCATCAGCAGCCCTTCACCCAGAGAGAGGGGCAGGGGTCGCCCTGACGCAGATGAATGAGTCCCATGCCTGGAGCCCTGGGGCCCTGGCTGGGGGCTGCTCCCAACCTGAGGTGCTCAGGGCAGCAAGTGTCCGCCACTTAGGTTTGTCATTTTTGGCAGGAGCGTTTTTCTGTCTGGGTAAAGAATGGAGTTTCATGGAAGCACAGTTAACTCTTCAGGGGCCTTGCATGCACAGAAGGTGAAGAGGATGTCACGGGAGAGCCAGGCTCAGACTGGACATTTGGGTCGGTTTGGGAAGTCAAATGCAATCATCGGAGGCATAGTAACCAGAATAATTAATCATGCAGGCACTTCTGCTGTAACTTATTGCAGTAACCTTTGCCCTATTGGCCAATATTTTTGGCCAGAATCCCATGCTGGCTGGACTTGGATTCTCCGGGTGATGTATCCAGTGTCTGGAACACACCACAGTACTGCAGTCATGTTATTTCCCGAAGTAACGTTCATGTAACTGGCATCTATTTTGATATAACAGTTATATCTATTTTGATTTTAAATAATTAACAGAAGCTTAAAATAGCACAGCAATAATCATAATAGTAACCTGTTTATAGACCTACCCTCTAAGAATGATTTGCAAAATGCTGGCCTTGATCAGAAAAATCTGAACTCACAAAACAGTGTCACCTCTTTGGCAGTCTTCAGTATCCCTAGTTTCTTACAGTTAAAAAAAAATTAAATTTGCCATTTCAGATTGTGCCTATGATTGGGGAGCTGTTTCTCAGTGCCTGGCTCTTCGTGGTTGGCCAGCACGTGGAGCACTCTGTTCATCTGTACATATAGGTATGGGCTCATCCGCACCTATAGTTACATTCTCATCTTTGCCTTCAACAACTTTGACATTCTGACTTGACAGTCACAGTATTTTAAAGCAACCATTAAATCTTGGCTCCTAGAGATGCTTTCAAAAGTCTCTGACCCCCAAACAGGGGCACTTCTGCTGAACTAACCCTCCCATAAATGAGAGAAAAATGCATCATCTTTTAAAGAGCATGCCCGATCTCCAAATGTGCAACTCTGATATTAATAAAAATAACCCAGTTTTCTCGGGAGACTTTGCTAATGCAACCTCATTTTTTGCACATTTTGCCGGAGAGCTTTTGTTCTTACACGTCTCTATTCTCCCCCTCTTTAATTTGTTGCAGGTGTTGTTGCTAATGAGCTCTCTCTCTCCTCCCCTCTTACAATGAAAGACAAGCCAGACCCCAGGTACCTGGATGGATTGAGAGCTGAGATCTCAGAAACTTCATAATAAGTTGCCGATGGCTACCAGCCAAGGTCAGCTGGGCCCCATTAGTGCCGGCCCCCACCAAAGCAGAGCCAAATAGCCTTCTCCCCGGTTAGCACCTCAGTAGCTTTTTATTCTAGTCCAGTCACACAGCTGTTGCCACCTTAAGCTCATATGAAAGAAATCTCTTTTATTGGTCTGAGAACCCAAGTCCAGTCCCAAAGAGGGAACATGTTTCCAGCTAACATGTCCACCTCCTGATTTTATTTTATCTTTACAATGCAGGCTGGAGGGTTGTTTTGCAGTGGTGTTGAGCACGTCACCCATTAAGAGCCCTTTAAAGACCTGGATTGATTGGAAGGACAAAAATTAAAAGCAATCTGATCCGGCCTCATGCAGGATCCCTGCGGATTTCCTCCTTATCCCATTTCCATCCACTGTCACAATTTGAGAGTCTGCCTGATTTGATCAGATTCACCTCCGGGGGAGGTGTGATGACAAGGTTAGGAGGACGTGAAGTTGTGGGCAACTTTCTGATCTGTCCATCAGCGGTCTGAGAAACACTGGTTCTGAATTTTCCATATCGGCCTTTTGGAAACAAGTTCCTCGCTGTTTGCAAAGCTTCAGTGCTTGGGTCCCTGGGACACCCGGCCACCCTCGCCTGGTAGATGTGGCATTTCCATGCTGAGGCCACAAGTCCCGCCTGACCCGGTCGCTGCCTCTCCAGGGCTTCTCTGGGCCGCGCCCCTGCGGACTGCGCAGCCATGCTGCACCTGCTGGCGCTCTTCCTGCACTGCCTCCCTCTGGCCTCTGGGGACTACGACATCTGCAAATCCTGGGTGACCACAGATGAGGGCCCCACCTGGGAGTTCTACGCCTGCCAGCCCAAGGTGATGCGCTTGAAGGACTACGTCAAGGTGAAGGTGGAACCCTCAGGCATCACGTGCGGAGACCCCCCTGAGAGGTTCTGCTCCCATGTAAGTCCACTTACTGCTCTTTTGCTTGTCCAGGCCAAGTGGGAGGAGGTCTGGAGTAGATCCTTGGGGTGGATGAGCAGAGCCGGGGGACTGAGATGCAAGGCTGACTTTTCTGCCTCTTGACCAGGTCTGGACCAGACCTGGACCAGACCTGGACCAGGTCTTTGTCCCACCTTGGAAATGTGTCAAAACAGAGGCCACCCTGAGGACACTGGGGTCATGTGCCATTGTTCTCTGGGGTAGGGGCATTCTTGGCCAGCTGGCCACTAGATTAGTTCCCTTGGGAACCCCATAGTATTCGGCTCCCCAGCCTTGAGGGTAAGCCCCACCTCCTGTGTAGGAAGTCAGCATTCTGGGCGAGTGAGCGAGATGCTACCTGCAACATGATACCCCTCTGTTCATCCTTTCTGCGGTGCAACCTCTTAGCCCACTCAATCCAATCCAGCAGACTGTACCATGAAGCTAGAGCACGCCAAGCACTGAGCTGGCCCTTTGCATGGGGAGGTTTGACGGAGGCTCAGAGGGGATTCACAAAGGAGGAAGTTGGGGGTCAGGCCGGGACAGACAGTGCAGCTGGGTCCCCTTCCAGTTCCATTCCTACATGCAATGGCGATAGCCCCCAGATAAGTCCGGGGAAGGCAGACATTCAGGCGTTGTCCCTTGCCTCCCTAGTTAGAGAAGGAGTAGTCCTAGGGGCACGGAGTACTTCAGTACTCATGTTAACAGCAACAACAACAGCAGAGATGGTTGCACGCGAGCTGCCTGAGTGTGTGGGCTGAGCCTGATGCCATTGCCAGGAGTCCTCCCTTCAGCCAGCCAGGTGGATTCTGTGTTGTATAAAGAAGGAGTGTCAGGGGAGGACTCTGACCCAGTGACGTCTGTGGGCTTCTGTTCTGTCATCTGCAAAATGGGCACACTAAGAGCACACACTCCTAGGATCATTGTGAGGAGTTTGTGGTTTAATTAATGTAGGTAAAGGGTTCGGAATAGGACCTGGCACAGAGTAAGCGCATGCAGATGTTAGCCACTGTCATTCCGGTCATACAGGTGGGGTAACTGAGGCAGCCCAGGGGTGGTGGGTGAAGGCATCTGGCCAAGGTCACGCTCCAGGAGGTGGCGAAGCTGTGATTCCAGCTTAGAGTGGCTCCAGTGTCTCTGAGCTAAGCTGCTTCCCGCTGGGCAGTGCTTTGGAGGCCGTCCCTGAAGGCAGGGCAGAGCCAGGTAGGACAGCCAGGCTGCAGGAACTCACAGGAGGGGGTCGATGCCATCCCCCAGGCAGCTTGTGCCTCTGCATGTCCTTGGAGGAGCCTCCAGGTCTCCGGGCTTATGATGGGGCTGACCCGGTGCCCCCACCTCGGAGTCCTGAGGACTCGATCTCATGGGCCGGCTTTGCTCACATCACAGGGCAGTCAGCCCGAGAAGGTAGCTTCTTACTTGGGCTTGTCAGTGGCGATGAGGCTGTCGTTGTGGGTGGTGGCTGGGCCAGGGCCAGCTGGGGAGAGAGGGAGGGAGGGAGGGAGGGAAGAAGGCGGCACGAAGCCAGGAGCTGGGGCTGGATAGTCTGTGGTCATAACTGCCCCAGGGACCGCAGGGCCAAGCAAGGGGGCTGGGCTCTGGAAGCCAGGAGGAAAGCCAGGATGGGGGCTGGTGCTCCATCCACATCTCAGAGCCGGTGGGAGGGTTCTCTGCACACTCCCGGGCACAGTCAACCTCTGTCTTGTATTAGAGTCTTGACTGTATTTTTTCTCTTAAATATTAATCACTGCCTCAATGTGCTTGGGGGAGCAGTTAAATCATAATTCTAGAACCAGCTTCGGGTCGAGGGCTTGAGGTGGGGAGATGACCCTCAGAGGCAAGTCTGAGGCCCTCTCCTGGCCAAAGCTGGCTAGGATGTCGTTGGCCCTGGACCTCTGCCCCGCCCCCACCCTCAGACAGAGAACCCAGCGCAGTGGGCAGCTGCCCTGGGGAGGTGGTCACCCCTGCCAGTCCCAGTGCTGGCAGAGCCTCATCCCAGGCAGCCGTCCTCAAGCCCTGGGGTCTGGAAGAGTGCACTCTCCCATCCCACCCCCTGCTCCTCTCCTGGGAAGACAGGTGGGGAAGGCAGGGGAGAAAGAATAGTCCCTCCACAATCTACCACATGGGCGAGTCCTCAGTGTCTCGCCACCTGTTTGATGGACTTAAATATTTCATCATGGGCTGCCATCCGGCTCTGCTTTGATTACAAATGTACGTCCGATGAGGATGGGGAGGCCGCTGTGGCAGGCTGCCGGCTTTTGGAGGGCTGGCTTTTGGAGGGGTGGTTTTTGGAGGGCTGGCTTTTGGAGGGGTGGCTTTTGGAGGGGATGGTTACTTCCAGACAGATCTGGATTCAAACCCTGATGTCACAGTTTATTGTGGCTTCCCTGGGAGGGTCCGGGCAGGTCTCATTTAATCATCTCTAGGATGCTCTGAGGTGGGTCCTAGTCTAATCTCATCTTAGGGATTAGAAAATGTTGCCTAAATCCTGCCAAGGTCACTTTGTTGAGAAGGCAGGCTGGGAACTGCCTGTGGCCAAGGCCCATGCCCACCCACCAGGTGGCACAGCCTCCCCTCTCTCAACTTCTGACCTCTCTGAGTTTCACTGTCTTCCTCTGCCCAGTAGAAGCCATAATGTAGGAGTGTCACGGTGCTGGTGGGACAGCGCAGCCCGGCCATGCTGCCGTGGTACGCACAGACACATAGTAGGTATTCAATGTGCAATACTAGTCACTGGCTTATTACTGTTGTGATTATGGCCTTGGTGACTTTCCTGGCTTCTCTACTTCCCCAGAGTCCTTTGCCTCTCCCCAGCCTTGGGGACACCACGCCTTGTATTTCTAGTCTCTGGCAGCAGGTGGAAGATGCAGGCTGGGGGAGCTTCCATGCCTAAGCCCCAGCAGCTGTTGCTAACCAGCCACCAGGGGGCGCCCTCATGGCGGCCAGATGCCCACTGCCCCCCTTAGCCTTGCCATCACCCATGGGTCCTTGCTCTCCTTCGCCCCTTCTGCAGCGGGTGCTAGGTGTGTCCTAACATCCAGCCTACGGGAGCGCAAGCCTGGCTGCACTCTGAGGGTACAAGAGGGGCCCGGGGCGGACGGCCTTTTCAGATGCAGATTGCAGACCCTCTCTCTCTCCCAGGCTTCTTGTCCTTCAGCAAGGCCACCTGAGAACTGAATTGTAAATTCCAGCCTTGCAAGGAAGGGGAGGAGGCTGAAAGACAAGATAAATGAATAAATAAAAACCTATTGGCTCTAAATGCACAATGAGAATTAATAGGGATGAGCTCTCAACCGAGGATTCTTGGGCAAGGACAAAATTGCAATGAGGGCTGTGGGAGAAGAGAAGCCGCCCCCACCCAAATTCCCAGGGCCTGCCCCAGAGGTCAGCCCGGCAAGGCTGTGGGCCGGGGAGGAAGCAGGAAGGGCGGCGGGCAAAGGCGTCTCAGCCCCTCACAGGGTAATAGCTGCTTGCAGGACCCCTTCGAGATGGGGAGGGCATGACTGGCATTGGGAGGTACCCCTTAGCGCTCTGCAAGGCAGGGCTCCCGCCGGCTACCAGTGCTCCCCGTGACAGGAAGGGGGAAACCTTTCCTTTGTGCCTTGGAGACAAAAGCTGGCCACCCGAGACTCAGGGGCAAGATGACGGGCAGGAGAGAGACGGAGAGAGCTACTGCCCAGGCAGCCTCACCTTGATAGAGGTGCAGAATCCTAGACTCCGCCCCACACCTGCTGAGCCAGAATCTGCCTTTCAACAGGAAGTCTCTGGAGCGCTGGGGTGGGATTGGTCCACGGTGGTGGATGAAGCCTGTCATTGACAAAGTGGCCTGAGGTCTGTGGGTCCCATGGGGTCTGTGCAGGTTAAGGGGAGGGCATTGCTGAGGGGAGACAGGAGCCAACAGGAGAGCAGCAGGGGTCCTGGGAATGGGGGAATGGAGCTGGGAGCCTCGCTTACCAAGGCGGGGCGGGGGATCTGTGCTTCTGAGCAGGAGCCAGTGGAAGGTACCAGAGAGAGGCAGCACTAGCTCCTGACAAGAGCTACAGGTCTGGAATCTGAAGCCCTGAGCTCACATCCCAGTGTTGTCACTTGGGGGCTGGGTGGTCTGAGGTGAGTCATTGAAATTCTCCAAGCCTCGGTTTCCCTATCTGTAAAAGGGGTATGATCGTGACTGCCTTGCCCACCTCACTGACTTCCTGGGAGAGGAAATGCCTCTCACAACATACCGGAAGGTGCTTGGCGGAGACTGTAAGTTCTGTTCTAGTGTGAGGCTTGAATATTATTGTTTATCCAATCTTGATAAGCTTTATGTTTCCACATTGACATGGGTGAACATTCGAATTTCAGCCATGTTGGAGTCTCCAGCATACAGAGGCATCTTGGCTTTGGTGGACAGGAAAGCCGAGGGCAGGCTGTGAACGTGCATCTTTGAACACACATGTTACTCAGTTAGAACCTGCTTTAGCTTCTCTGTGCCTCAGTTTACCCAGCTGCAGAGCAAATGGTTCCATTCCTCCCCCAGGGGGTCTGCTGGGCTGATGAATGCAGATAGCAGGCAGGTCCTGGAGTCCTCGAGCCACTCCCCACCGTGACATTGAACACCACATGCAGAATCAAGGTCAGAGACACTCTGCCTCCTGCCGGACCTCGATGATCATGAAATGTTTCCATCCAACAATGCAGAGCTGACCAGCCCAATGGCTCTGGCCTCCTTCCCCCTCTGTGTTTCTGGCCGCAGCCTCCCTCCTCTGGCCATCACACCCATCCAGTTGGTAGGTGTTTCCAGGTCTGACCTCATGCCAGGCGCAGTTGTGATGGGAAAGTGAGATGACTAGAGAGAACTGAAGCGAAAAACAAGAGAAAACACAACAGACATTGAAGACAATGCCCAGCTAACAACAAATGGTGACATCGGCACCTGATATGACAGGAGCTGGGGAAGGAGGAGGGCGTGCCCCTGCCCATGAGCTCTCCCGGCCGCTCCAGCC